TAGGGACAAAAAATTTGGAAAATAGTTGGCAAATGCAATTAAAGGCATGGCATTTTTCGAGGGTAAGTTTCTGTATGCTTTCCGGCGACAAAATAGTCTAAAGCGTCCATGAATTTCCAATAAATACGCAGCAGTTTTCGGTGTCCTTGGTCGACCGGCTGGAAACAGTTTTTGGGCACATTTTGGTTATCAAAACTTACAAAATAAGGCAGACCTTGAAAGAGTTTATTTAGGTACTAAGTGCCCGGATTTGATTCACTCTGAAAATGATAATTCGACCGCCACTGCTGCCATTGGGCCTTCTAGTCTTATGATAAAGTATCTACTTAAGGTCCACCTACTAGGGTGTTTTTTCCGAAACCGGGGCTACTTTCCTGTTGAGTGCTTTATATCCTTCCTTTGTACACACTACATTTGTCTGGCATAGGATTTCTATACCAGCTGATATTTACATATACTACTGACAAATTTACGCATCAGTTCATGTCGCTATAACTTGACATTCTCGTCTCCAGATACATATTTTGGCATTCCTCTGGAGAGTTTCTTATGAAAACCTGAATTTGTTTGCCGCCTGGAGAGACACTCAGCTTACTTCACAGCGGGTGAACGTGTTTTTATGTACTGGACATTTCCAGCGTAAACATGTTATGGACTAACACTCGCTGCGTGATATACTTTCTAAATGGAGTCACAAAAATACTGAGCAGAGTAGATGGAATTAAAGTCATTTTGCGCATTCTGCCGTGCTGGCTTTCCAGTGAGGGCTGTTGCAAGTACCTCTGCTGATTATGTCTCGAAAATAAATGCCTTTTCAACAAATAATATATGTTGTAATGCATAAAATATACGCAAATTCACAAAAGCTCTAAGTAAATTGAAAACCATTTCAAGCACACTAACCTACATACAAAAGGCCGACCCTCATTTAAGTGAAGAGGCAGAGGAGGCATGGAAATTATCTCATAAAAGTTTGAACGGAATTCTAAAATGTGTCTTCGATTAGAAAAGATAAGTAGGATCGTGAGTATAACTGTCGCACAGCATAATCGCAGGACGTTTCAGTCACATCAAAATGCCAGCTTTTGAACAAGGTTCTTTTCGGCTGCCTAAAAATACGACACTGTGAAAAATTGGTTACTTAATTAGCACGCATTTTTCCAACTGATTTTCCATGTCCCTATAAATGTCAATATATTTTATGAAAACAAGCGCAAAAATATTTGTTCTTGTATTCACTTGGCAGCAAATTACTTCTTCTTCAAGGCCAATGGTTGAAGAAGGGGTATATTTCGGTTTTAAAAACCTCAATCCCAGAATGACTTAAAACCTAACCCGCCGTTGCATTTGTATTCATTGTTCCCAAACTACGAGTCGTATATCTTCTCTGTAAGGAAAATTACACATGCATATAAATCATTAAGACGGCGTCATATAGGGCTCGTAAAATTCTGCGGTGGATGTGAATCATTTTGTCTATTTCGTAAATAGCCTTAATGAATGGACTGATGCGACGCCTTATGGGTGGGCATTTCAATGTTTTGAAAAATTTCGTATTGGAAAACTTTTTAATAGCAAAAGATGCCCTCTCTTCAAATATAAAATTGGCAGAAAAGGTACTTTGCCATCAAATAAATAGAAGAACGGATGCATTTAGGCATGCCTCCTATAAAGTATTTTTAAATCTTTAGGGTTATCGAAAATCAGTGAGAAACAATCATGTCTTTTGAGCTGTCAATTTTTACAGTGTGGTTTTTCCAGCGGCCAGAATGAAACTCGTACAACAGTCATATCGTGGCTTGACTGAAATATTTTGCGATTAAGCTGTGCGACAGTTAGTATTGCGACCCTACGCAGGTAGTCTTTTCCGGTCGAATTCACATTTCAGAATTTCGATTAAAATTAAATAAAATAATGCATTCAGTATCATATTAGCTTACACATAAATATCGATTCCCAAAGATATGCGGGTTTGCCGATAAAGAGAACATTTATGTCAAGTCTAATTTATATGTAGAAGCACGCATTTCCATGCAAATGGCCGAATGAATAAAATAGCATAAGAGCGGAAACCTTTAAGGAGGCATTTATAAATAATCCTAGTCGTAAATGTCCTCCAAGAATTAGTGTGGTATGCAATCTAACTATTGGTCGGCCGCCTGATTTTTAACAAAGATTCGCAAGACGAGTTTCGGAGAGATTTCGATTCTACATTGTTAGAGATTAGAATGTCCTAACGGAAAGTTGCAGACGCGAATGTTTCATAAGGTCACTTGTCGAGGAGCTGTTCAATGGCTAAAAAATTTTAATGTGATTACAAACTAAGATATCAAGCATGTCCTTTTCTTAATATGAGGGAAATTTTTCTTGCCAAAATTACTGCGTATTTTATGGAGATGACGAATTATGTTGAGGCCCAAGGAGTTCTTGAAATTTCAGTGAATACTTTGGTAGGGGTGCTCACCGATCATTTCTACGGGACTCACTCGTTCCGTTCTGCTTTATGCACTCTCTCTCGAGCCCAACCAGCAGCCGCACAGCGGCGCATGATATAGGCAGAATGAAATTACCGACAAAGACAAGGGAGACTGGAATGGCCATTTCTGACTTATTAGCCGTCCTCATCCAGTCATGTCCAACCCCGAAGTGCGGACCACCCGAGGCTCGAACTCGCGACCTGTTAGTTAGAAGTTCACGCCTCTAACCACTGGACCACGAATTTCAGTGTCCTCAGTCAAGTGCCAGAAATTGCGGCCTCTGTCGTTCATAATTATCAAAATTTTAAAACTAAGGTGGATCTCAAAAATTTTTACTCAGGGCGCTGTTCGCTCTGCAAATGATGGGTCGGTCTTTAGAGCCGGCATAAAGCCTCTTAGATTTATCAGAACTTTACTAAGAAATTAAGACTCCATCCTATTGGATATTCGAAGGCTATGATTGAAAAGGAGTCTGTTTTCCATTCAAAAAATGCGTTTATCATAGGGCTTCTAGACTGTTTGGAGTATGCGTCTTCCAAAGGAAAATTCACGCATAATTTTAGAGATCCTGTGGCTTGTTGTCCTGGCCTCCAAGATCTTTCCGACTGCACAAGGAACTGCTGAACGAAAAACACCGTTAGCCTGCGGACCACAGCCAAACGCCTCTAAGCATTCAGATGCGGTTTTTTATAATCGAAGCATCAATAAGCGTTAAGGTTGAAAAGTATGCTTGTTTGAAGGAAAAAGCTGTAGACAAGAAAACTGCACTTAATCCCATTTTTTAGAAATACAGTCGATTTAATATCAGCATCAAAAGTGGACAGGGTATATACTAGTTAAGCAGTCGACCTAATTGGGTAGGATTACTTCATATCGAAATCATGCGTTGACTGACACATGGCTTGATTAGGATTATCTGCAATGCTTATTAAGTTCACAACTCAAATTGAGGAGGCGGCAACCTGAATACTGAGACTAGCGCAGGAGTCCGTCGTCAAAGAGAACAACACATCAGCGAGATGCGTTGCAATTACTAGCCAATCAACAGTGAGTGCTACAAGTCCTTAAGTGATCAGACATGATAGATCGACATACCAGCAGACTGAATTCAAGTGAAATCCCAAAGGCCCGACTAACCTGAGTGCCGCCTTATGCCCTGTCAAACCAATGGCTGATGGCAACTAAGGCTCCAAATGGTCTTTGATTTTAAGGCAGAATGTGTATGGTAACTAAACGGTGATGTGTAGTGTAGTGGTAATGGTAGAGGGGCACTCACCGATCGTTCTTACGGAACTCACTTGTTTCGTTGTTCCTTACGGCTAATAAGCCAGAACTGGCCATTCCAGTCCCCCTTGTAGTTGTCGGTAACAACGGTGGTGTGTAGTCCCTCTCTATAGTTGCACGAGTGCGCGTTCATTTGCCCCCGAAACGTTCTTTATACGCGTTAGGCCTTCCTTGAATTAACGTAGTCCCTCGGCCGCATGCCATGCGATCGGCCATGGACAGACGGGGTTGTAAAAGTTCTTGGATATTCAGTCAGCACAATTTACTAACGAATAAACCGAATCTAGTATGCTTTCTTCTACTTACCGTAGGCTCCAAGGATCATTTAAGTCCGTGTGAGCGCTCGTCATCTGCCCATATCGCCTGCCTTAACTGCCCCTTCGGTCGGACGGATGAAGTGCGATGGTGGCGGTGCCGCGCGGTGGCCGGATCTCGCAAACTGCCTTCCAAACTGCCAACCCCGGCCGTTCCTTTGACTTCACTTGCAACTATATCAGTGCCTGAGTAGGGTGTATGACAGAACGCCAAATAACTAAAATTTGGAGACCGAGTTTCTAGCTGCATACCTTGCTCAGCATGCTTAATTTGAGGATTCGATCCCTGGTATCAATAGTGTGTTCAATCGAGCCTTCGGATTGGTTCCGTATTTTGCCTTCGGAGATGCTAAGAGGAGTCAAATGGAGAAGAAGCTAAGTATCGCGACTTCCACTGATGTGAGAGGTACCGATTCCGTGCATGTTGTGAGTGAGAATGGGTGGATGTGCGTGTAGTGTATGTGCTGGGGAGGGGATATGTGTTAATGGGATTCGACCGACAGTGTTTTGCCGGAGGTTTTCCCGGATGCGCACGTGGCCGAGTAGATCCATAAAGTCACTGAATGTGCGTGGGCGGCGTGGGCAGTTGAGGTGGGCCCGGTGGGTGTATGCTGTTGCCCCAGGCATTGCTTCGTCAGTCTCAGTGCAATGGACTTGCAATTGACTGACCAAGCTGTTTGCGGTGGTGATGGTGCTAGTGTTCGCCTTTCTGGTGGAGGGGGATTGGTGGTGTTAAAGAAGAGAGACCTATCGGCTGTTCAAGGTGTGCCGGACATGTCGACACTACAGTAAACTCTGTTGTCCTGAATGTGCATGAAGCCTAATAGGTTTATTCCTGGAGTGAATGTGCGTGGACAGCGCAGACAATGGGGACGAGTATGCGCCTGGGCTCCGGAAACTAGTGTGTCGGTCCGGTGCGATGCATTCACAAGTTACCGAGCAGAAAGATGAGGTGGGGTAAAGTTGCAATCGCAATGAGGACAGATATGGATGGAGTCCACATCGATGGAGGTGAGACGGTGATTGTGAGAGTAGCGGTTGACAGGGCGTTGGGAGTGTCCTCACTGGTGGTGGTGGTGGTGGTGGTGGTGGTGGTGGTGGTGGTGGTAGAGACCTCAAACAAAGAGCTGGTCCAGCGGCTAGCCAACCTTGCAGCCGGCGGCGGCGACGACGCTTTTCTGGAGAACTGATGGGGCCAACAGAAAGACACAATTCAGTTAACTGCTCTGGTAGTCCTCGGCCGCGCACGTTGCAGACATCCGGACTGATTCGACGACAACGACGCCGCCATCGGCAACCTGTTCGCCGAAAACGTCAGGCCGCACAGAGCCTACCTCGACCGTCCGGCCGATACAAACGAAGCGGTCTCCTATTAATGCCGCCGCCTAGCACGTCAACGACTACGAAAAATGAAGGACGTTGGGATGGCTTGTAAGGTCGAGGAAATGCAGGGATATGCCGACTGCAATGAATGGAGGAACTTCTTCGCTGCCATCAAGGCTGTCTACGGTCCCGCAGCCGAAGGAACCGTTCCTCTTTTCAGGGCCGAAATGATCACCCTACTCACTTAGAAGACGTAAGTCCTGAAGGGATGAGCCGAACACTTCAGAGGCGTCCCCAACCACCCCTCCTCCATCTCCGACTCCGCCATTGTCCGTCCGCCTCAGTTGCGGACCAACGCCAACCTCGACCTTCCGCCCTCTCTCTACGAATCCACCAGGACCGTGCCGCAACACTCCAGTGGGAAGGCGCCCGGATCAAATGTGATTCTTGCTTAGATTTACAAGCACGGCGACCCCCTACTTATAAATCACCTCACAGCGCTCTTTCGGGAGATGTAACGCTAGGGACAAGTCCCCTGGGACATCAAGGACGCTGGAATCGGCCATCTCTGCAGGCGGAGAGGGAACGCCAACTCTGCGAAAACCACAGGGGAATCTCACTGCTCAGCGTGGCCGGCAAGATCTTTACTCACGTTCTCCTCAATCGCCTCAATCCCGCCCGCCAACTGCAGGAGAGATGCCAGGAAACGTTGATCCACCTCTACTTTACCTTCGTGGATTTGGCGAAGGCCTTCGACAGGGTGAATCAGGAGACTGTGTAAAATCATGCAGAGATTCGGCTGTCCCGAGGGCTTCACCCAGATTGTACTTTGGTCAGGCTCACCACTCTAGCGGGAAGGATAATCGATAATTCGATCCCACGCTAAGATTACTTTGAGGAAAGCCAAGCAAAACGGCCGCGCCAAAACAGACTTTACTGTCAACGCCGCCCAGAGAAGAACAAAAGCAGTGGGTTAAAAGTCAATTTGTCGGGCCAAAACTAACCCTAGTTGGAGTGTGCGCCTAACCGTCGCATAAACACCGACTTAAACAAAAGTGGATAAACGCCAGTCTAGGAAATGCTTAGAAAGTTAAAATAACTATGAAAGGCAGTGCATAAACGAAAATAGGACAAAAGGCCACCACAGTACGTCAGCTCCACGATCGCATGATGGCGCGCGTCATTGACAATAGAACCGTCTCAGAGGCATTCGTAGTGACCGACGGAGTGAAGCAGGACTACTTCCTGACGTCCACCCCCTCCAGTATCACGTTTTCTGCCATGGTAATGGACGCTTACGTTGAAGAACACCCCGAGATGCGCTTTACATATAGGACGGGCGGCCAACTCCTCAATCACCGTCAGATGGACTTCCAGTCGAGTATATCCGCAACTGCCGTTCATGAGCTTCTCTTCGCCGACAACTGCGTTCTCGATACAATCACAGAAGGGGACGTGCAAAGGAGCATGGGCCTTTTCGCCGCCGTCAGCGACAACTTCGACCGACTAATGGACACGGGGAAACGGCGGTTAAGCACAAGCCGCGACCCATCGCTGCCTACAATGCACCCCACGTCAACGTGAACGGCGCCCAAATGCAAGCCGTGGACATATTTATTTACCTGGGCAGCAGCCTTTCTCGCAGCACCAAAACCGACGATGATGTAGTCCGCCGGATCTCCAAAGTTAGCTCTGCCTTCGATCGCCTGCAGAACGCTGTCTGGAATCGTAACAGACCCCACCTCAGCACCAAATTTGAAATGTAAAATGCGGTCATCCTGTCGACACTGCTGCATGGAGCGGAGACGTGGACAGTGTATACGAAAAACGTTTGGCGAAGAGTGGAAATAACTGATGACGGGAAAAAGCCAGAAGTGGCCGTTCCGGTCTCCCTTGCCTTTGTGGATACTCCACAGTTAGTCCCACTTTCTATATGGGCTTTATTTAGCGAAGCTTGGAAGGCCTAAAGACCATCCGTCTTTCTGACTACAGGTGTTATCTAAGCGGCCTCCTCGAGTCCGTGGATAACGAGACTCTAAGGATGCACTGCAGCACTATTTAGATCTATTATCTTTTTATCGGTTGCTTCCTTATGCTTGACAACATTTCATTTTTGTTTCCAGTTATACTTGTATAAATATGCTGTATTCTTCATTGCTCTGTCTCGTCTCTAGACTAATCCCGAACCTGTTTTGACAGAGGCGTGTATTTTGACTAAGCCGACGCCAGAGCTGACATCAGTGGTTTCCTGGAAACAGCGCTACTTTAGTAAAGTGCGTTAACATCAGTCTCTTGTGCTGCTGAAATGACATCTATAGAATTTTAACGACAATTGAATGCATAGTCGCCGGTTTTTGTTACTAGGGCGTGCCTCGTACTTGGGCAACGTACGCATGCCAAATTTGGATTATAGCTGCCGCTAAAACTCACGAAATGGTCACATTTATGGCTAAGGTTAAGTTAAAGTTGGGGTTTGGGAAAGCGCTAGGTTTGCGGTTGTCGTTAAGATTTCCTGCCGCATAACATCCTACCCCAAGACTCTGGATTATCTGTTTTCCGCTCGTTTGAACTATCTGAAGTGGCATCTTTCAACTTGGACGGTCCCCACAGCAGCTCATAGGAGCAGTAAAACAAATTCATCCCAGAAACGCAAGTTCCCTCGTCTATCTCCGCAGATCCTGTTTGTTACCGCACTTATCTGTCCCGTTGATAAAGCTACTATTAAAGTCCTTCTTGCATTGTGGGATTCCCTGTGCCCTGTTTATTCAATGGACCTAAATGTTCAGTTCTAGCAATATTCTCTCTCAGGGGAATTTGAAATAACGTTTTGTGCTCCTGAATTTAGGGGGCATATTTTTTAATTGATGGGGTCGGTGAACCCCGGGTTCTTATAATTGAGCGCGAGTTTATTTCCGGAAAGTCCTCCCTGCAATACTCTTCTGCAATGTAAAGTGTTTCATCAGTCTTGGCACTTTAAGAAGATTCAAAAAACAGAGGAGGAGATTGTCCCTAACCCAAAGTAGGTTATCGTTGAAGCCACCACTGTCTTCACATAGTGGGGAAAGAGGCCACAATATTGCTTATTTTGATTTTATCCTTCGAAGAGCATTTCTGTTGGGTGGAGTTACCGGCAGAGAGGGAGATTAGGGTAGCCGTTTTGGGCTGCTTGTTCTCATCAGCCAGTCCCGCCCAAACCTCAATCAAGGAGGGTCACTAGTCCGAAACCGGTCCCGGTTGGTCCTTGTGCGAACGCTTTTACTCTGAGTTTCGGGATCCGGTCCTGTATACTGGGATCAGGAGGGTTCAAAGACACAAAAGTTTGGCGTTCAATGAACACTTCTGGCTACGTGGCAGAATATAGGCAGTCCACTTTTATTCGCAGCCCTAGATCCAGAGCCCTCTCTGCTGATAACTGCCCGTTACCATGCGACCGCCTGCAAAAGCCCAGAATTAAGGAAGCCAAAATATAACAGAAGTAGCGACTTCCGTTTTCTCATCAGGACATATGCACGACTCTTACCAAGAGACAGCATCACGTGGCCAGGCGGCTGAATTTGGGAGGTGGGATCAGCGTTTTTCTGACCTCCGACCTTGATCGTTAATAGGTCCCACTAATAGAAGTGACGAACAGAAACACCGCCACGAACAAGAAGGCATCGAGATGGTGGGGCGATTTTGCCGGAGTGAAGGTAGTCCATCTGAGGAGGCTTCATGGCGTTCAGTTTGTGCGATTTGTGTTCATATATGCCATTTTTCATCGTAGTTCCTGCAAAGTACGATCGCAACACCAGGGACCCACGAGAATTCAGGACGTCGCAGACCCCCTCAGTTACTGTGGTAGAAGTCATACTCCATTCTGGCTCCCACCCTAGTAACCGCTCTTACTTCCATGCAATTTTGGTCAGCATCCACGTGGACGCCGCAGCCATGACTTCTCACAGCACTGGGATCTGTCAACTGAACTGGGAGTCCAGCCCCAACATCGTCCAATGAGCTCTCGCTTGGAATTCAGCGCTGTGAGGCAGAATGCACAGGTTGTCCTGCAAAACAAAGCAGAGACCAACGACCGGATCGTGACATGGCGACCGTGAACCATCAGTAGGCTGGTTCTCTGCCAATGCTACCTAGCTTTGAGATTTAGACGAGCCGAAGTTCGGGGGGGGGGAGGGGCAAAACCAAAGAAACGCCCAGGCAACAGCTGAGAATCTGTCATGTCATGATAATGCAGGGGATGTGGTTATGTATTCCCACCTGAAGTAAACAAACCCCAGACACCTGTAATACGGGACCAGTGGTAATAGGGATTTTTACAGGTGGGGCCGGGGAACGAGGTTAAGTAGCTGTATGCAGAAGAAAAGTTATTGCGAATGCGCGGCTGTACTTTGAGTGGTTGAGAAACAGTTGTCCTAACTCCCTAACCCGAACCCCCCACCATAACTCCTACTTCCAAACCCAACAGTATTGTGTCCATCAGGTGGGGTTACATAACCATACCTTACCCATACGTGATAAAAGCCGTACGATGCGAAAAATTGCATAATTGGACTCTGGTGCCGAGGCTGTCAAGGAGATCAGCGGAGCCAGGTTATGGATGAAGGCGAAATTTCGAGTTCCAGGCGTATGCATAAGTGAAGAAGAGTCGAGCCGAAACAGTTTCTGCCACTACCTCTGACAATGGACTCCTGTACGAGTATGCAAGCGCAGGATGATAAACGAAGTGTTCCGGTGCTCGACTCTTCTTCTTCACTTAAGCCAGGTTATTTCTACACAAGCCTCTGCAGCCAAAACCCCAATAAGTTTGCAAACTACGCGCAAAGAGGGAATGTCTGAGTTAAAATAACTGTCCGCCCTGAGGACTTCGAGGTTTTGACGAGATCCTCTCAGCTCCGGAAGCAAGAAGCACATTGAGACGAGAAAGACTTTTTGTTTTGACAAAGTGCTGCTACTGCTATCGTTGCCAGGAGTAATTCTCTTACACTGTCATGGTTCATATGCACATGAGAATGCCCGCGTCGGGCGGAAATGCACAGGATCCTGTAGACAGAAAAATGAATAAAATTATCTGCCTGCATGAACTCTACGCTCACTAATTGTTTGGATAACAGGGGGAGGGGAGTAATACGGGGACGTATGAGGAGAAAAATACTGAAAATAAGATATAAATAGCAAAAATAAGACTCAAAAAAGAGAAAGATGAGGAGAGAAAGTTGGGAGTGGGTCGGTGGCATAAAACAAGATGAGATCGAGGAGGTGGGTATTAGGCGAAGGGCAATTTCTCGGGACAGTTGAGAAGACGGAAGGGTGCCTCCGTTCTTACTGCTTCGTAGAAAGGGCAGGTGGCAAGATGGGCGCTGATGCGCGCAGCGACGTCTTCCTGAGAGATGTGCCAACGCCGGATTTTCTCACCCTTGAAGGGGAGGGTCCACACGAAGTTGGCGATACGCCAGCTGCAGCTACTGCCCGACGCAGTGTTTCGTCGACGCCAGACGGGCGCCACGATGCCCCGGCTGGGCAGGAGACTCAGACAGAGGTTGGCCAGGCGCTCGGAGACTTTGGACAGGATTATGAGGCTGATCTCGTCCAGGTAGCGTGAAATGTGGAGCAGAACCTCTGTGGGCAAGTCGTTGAAATTGGGCTTGCTGCCAGCATTGGGAACTGCCGGTGGCACCTCTGGCGCTGATTGGTCAGACTGATAAGGATAGCGAATTGAGAAGCTAGCGAATGCGGGCATGTAAACGAGGACGGAGTCGGGCAAATTGGGTCGCAGGCGCACGACGCTGAAGGGACAACCCAGGTAGGCTAGAGGACAGCGCTGCTCGAGCCAGTAATCGGCCTGCGCGAGGGCATCACAGTGGAGACGGCAGTGGTAGCCGAAACTCCGCCGTGGGACGTCAAGGTCGCAGAGGAAGGTGTACATGGCGAGAGGTTTCTGCACGTAACGTGGCACAAACTGAACTTGACAGTCAACCTAACAACACAAAAAGATGCGGATAGGAGGGTGAGGAATGCCGCTCCGTTAGCTGTGCACGCACGGAATATCTGGTTGATAAATGGGTAGGACTGACTTGTATGGCCCCCTAAACAGGGCACGAGGACAGGGACCGACTGCAATACGGATGGTTTTGAGCCAACTTTCATTGAAGGTTTGGGTTAGGTTTACGGGTAAGGATTGGGTTCAACGCTAGATCTAAAGTTAACGGTAAGGTATGCAAGGATCAAGTTTAGGGTCAAGGTAGGTGCTAGTTTTATACGTAGAGTTAAGGTTTTGGGGTGGGGTTAGGGTCAAGATTAGGGAAACAGTTAAGTTTTATATTAGGGTTCTTGTTGGGGTTCGGACACGGGAATATTTCACCCCCTCTGAAACTATGCACAGGCCCACCTTTACTACTTGGGCAGGGCATACCTATTTCCATGTCCTGTTTAGGGGGCCGCATAAGTCAGTCCCACCGATAAATATTACGATAATGGACGTGGTCAAAGCCGTAAGAAGTGGAAAATTAAAAAGATCGAAAAAGTCCGAGCATCAGCTGAGAATCCGTCGTGTCATGATAATTGAAAGAAGGTAGGTCAGACGTTATCAAGGCCGTGTGAAGTGGAAAAATTGCATAATTGGAGTCCGATGCCAAGGCTATCAAGGAGGGCAAGGTATTTTGACTGACTTCAGAATGCTCTTTAATATTCGCGAAAGAGCAGGAGATATCTGGTTGGTAAATGGTCGAAATGGTTAGTAAAACTGGGGGAGGAGTGACTGAAAGGCCTAGAGGTCGGCAAAGGGAATAATGAGAGGAACGGAGCG